TGCTCTTTTGCTTTCAGGATAGCACGTGAGGGTAAGGAACCCTCCAGACTTGTTTGCCCTTGCTGCTGCTTTTTCTGCTGTTTCTGCTGCTGATTCTGCTGCTGCTGCTGCTGCTGCTTTTTCCGCTGTTGCTGCCGCTGTTGTTGCTGCTGTTGTTCGTGCTGCTGTTGCTCCAAGCTCTGCTGCTGCTGCTGCTGCTGCAGATGCTGCGGCAGCAAATCATGCAGCCGCGGCGATGACGCATGGGCAATTAACTCATGCTGCAGTTGGTGCTGCTGTATCTTCTGCTGTTCCTGCTCGTGCTGCTGCTGCTGCTGCTGCTGCAGTTCTTGCTCCTGCTGCTCTTGCTCTGGTTGCTGTTGCTGCTGCCCCAGAAGTACAACTTCTGTGGTAGGCTTTGAAGCTCTTTGCTTTGGCCTCCATTTCCAGGATGCCGCTCTGCTGTTGCTGCTGCTGCTGCTGCTGTTGCTGCTGCAGTGGGAGCTGCTGCTCTGGCTGCAGTTGCTGCTGCTGCTGATGAATCTGTTACCAGCAGCAGCACCAGCAGCAGCAGCAGAAAGCGCATTCGCAGCATCGCCTGTGTCTGCTGCTGTTGCTGCTGACGCTGCTGTTGCTGTTGCTGTCGTTGCTGCTGCTGCCGCTGCTGCTGCCGTTGAGGCATTCTATCTGTTGCAGGTTTAAGGGCGGTTTGTCCCGCTGCAGCAGCAGCGGCTGCTGCAGCAGCAGCAGCAGCACATTAGGCAGTTATTCTAGTGCTACAATTTATTCCAAGTATATTTTTTTAATTTTCGTCTCAAGACAAGTCTCAGGTGTACAGACAGTGCAGCCCCCTTGTCGGCGGTGCTGCTGGGGCCCCCCCCAGCAGCAGCCGTTTGGAGTTTTAAGTACTTTGTGAGGAATTAAATGTTTATTTTTGTCCTAAATTTCATATTTCTGACTCAATTAAATGATATTTGATGCGTTTAGTGGCATGATCAGGCGGTGGCAGTGGCAGCTGCTGCGGCTGCTCGGGCTGCAGCAGCAGCAGCAGCAGCAGCAGAGGCTCATCGAGGCAGTGTCCCCTAGGCTGCTGCTGCTCCTGCTGTTTATAGGCAGTTAATCATAAATGGCTCTTCGACGCTCATTGCTGCTGCAGCGAGCTGCAGCAACAATGCTCAGCAGCAGCAATGTGCTGCTGCAGCAGCAATGTCACGTGCTGCAGCAGCAGCAGCAGCAGGAAACAACTGCGGCGGCGACACACTTTGCTGCAGCAGCTGGCCGTTGCAGCACCTGACCATTCCAGCAGCAAACTACAGCTGCTGCTATTTGCTGCAGCAGCTAACCGCCTAATGCATTCTACACTGGCAAGTGCAAAGACAGCCACAGAGCAGCAGCAGCTGCAGCAGCAGCTGCAGCTGCTGCAGCAGCAGCAGCAGCTGCTGCAGCAGACACGGCAGCAGCAAGAAGTTGCGGCTAACGCAGCAAAGGCAACAGCAGCCGCAGCAGTGGCCGTCAGCCCAGCAGCAGCAGCAGCAGCAACAGCACAACCATCACCACCACACGGGGTGCAGCAGCAGCAACGGGCAACAGCAGCAGCAGAAGCACACCCAGCAGCAGCAGCAGCAGCAGTAGCACCAATAGCAGTAGCATCGCTCTCCTAGCAGCAAAAACAGGAGCTGCAGCAGTAGCAGCAGAAGCAGTAGCAGCAGAAGCAGCAGCAGCAGAAGCAGCAGAAGCAGCAGCAGCAGCAGCAGAAGCAGCAGCAGCAGAAGGAACACAAGATTAAAATGGAAAATAGATTTGTTTATTTCAAATGCAGAAAGACAAAATGGCAAAATGAAATTAAATAAATATAATGAAGTGGCAGCAAGTCTGCTAATTCTGCGCAAAAGTAAATAGTCGAAAACAAGTCGAAGCTGCTGCTACCGAAGATGCTGCTGCTGCTGCTGCTGCTGCTGCTGCTGCTGCTGCTTCTTTGTTGCAGTGCTCGAGGCGACAAACGTGCGCAGCTGACTCTGCTGATACGCTTGCTAATGTGAGTTCTGTTGCTGCTGCAGCAGCTGCTGCAGCTGCTGCTGCTACTGTGGCTGAAGGCCAGAACAGCAGCAGCAGCAGCAGCAGCTGCGTTGCTGCAGCAGCAGCAGCAGCAGCGACAGCCGCAGCCTTCGCCGCTGCGGCAGGCGCTGCAGCCGTCGCACCTACACCTATCACTGCTGCTGCTGCTGCTGCTGCTGCTGCAGCTGCTGCTGCAGCTGCTGCCGCGACAGCAGCACCACTGGATGCATGCAAGAAGGGGGGGGGTTAAGAATAAATTCTTGAGCAGCAACAGCATCGACAGTTTGGGGCCGCGGCGAGCGGCTTATGGTGTGTTCTATCACGCCCTGCAGCAGCAGCAGCAGCAGCAGCAGCAGCAGCAGCAGTAGCAGCAGCAGCAACAGTAGCAGCAGCAGCAGCAACAGCTACGGATGGGAGGCCCTCAGAGGTATGAATGTGCAAGTAGTGAGCCCTTTGGCAGAAGCAAACAGCAGCAGAAGCTAACCCAGCAGCGTCCGCAGCAGCAGCAACAGCTGCAGCAGCAGCAGCAGCAGCAGCAGCGCAGCCGCAGTCCAGCCTACTGTGACCCAAGGCGTCAAACAGCAGCAGCAGCAACAGCAGCAGCAACAGCAGCAGCAGCGGCAGCAAAGGCAGCGACAGCAGCAAGCAGGCGCAGCAGCAGCAGCAGCAACCGCTTTTTCCCCCCAGAAGCAGCAGCAGCAGCGCAGCAGCAGCAGCAGCACAGCAGCAGCAGCAGCAAACCTGGACTGCAGCAATTGTTTTCTCCAGAGTTTTTCCCAAATGGAAGTTTTCCCGGACAAAAAAGCCAAGAAAAAGAGCAGCAAATAAATCCCCCGCGCCTCCTATATATCCTTGTTTGATGGGCACAGCAGCAGCATACAGCACGTCTGCTGCTTCTGCTGCTGCTGCTGCTGCTGCTGCTGCTGCTGCTTCTCCCTCGCCTGCTGCTGCTGCTGAGGGCGCGCAGCGCTGCACCTCCCGCTCCCTGCGGGACGCGACGATGAACAAGTAGTCTTCGGGTTTCTGCTGCAGCCGCTGCTGCTGCTGCTGCTGCTGCTGCTGCTGCTGCTGCGCTGCAGCAAGGATGGCGTGGGCCTCAGCAGCAGCAGCAGCAGAAGGAAACTGCACAGAAGTAATCACCACCACTTCGGGCCCCAGCTGGTGCAGCGCAGCAACAGCAGCAAAAAGAGCAGCAAAGTTGTCAATGGGAACGGCCTCGCAGCAGCAGTCGCGCCACCCCGCCTCCTGCTGCTGCTGCTGCTGCTCCTGGCTGCTGCTGCTGCTGCTGCTGCTGCTGCTGCTGCTGCTGCTGCCCAGCAGCCAGCCAGCCTCGTACTGGTTGGGTGTAATGACATCAGCCAGAGGCAGCAGCTTGCTGCTGTAGCTGCTGACGCAGCTGGGGTGTACATACAGCTTGCCACAATCCCCCAAAACAGGGTCTAGGAAGTAGAGGGGCCCCCGGGGGCCCCCAGCCACTCTGCAATTTGCTGCAGCAGCTCTCCACTCCCCACAAATCCGGAAGCAATGTAGCGAAAGGGGGGCTCGTAGCCGCCTGCTGCTGCTGCTGCTGCTGCTGCTGCTGCTGCTGCAGCAGCGGGCGGCGCCGCGCTGCCCGCGGAAGCAGCAGGCTGGAAGGCCGGCGCCTGGAAGTGCTGCAGCAGCTGCTGCAGCTGCTGCTGCTGCAGCAGCGACCCCTCGTGGGTAAACAAGTCCACGAACTGGCAGGTGTATATACACCCCACGCCCAGCCCCAAGTGCTGCAGCGGGAAGCAAAAGGCATCGGCCCCCACGTGGCCCCGCACCACGTGCGACTGCAGCGCCAACACCCGCCCCAAGTCCTTCATTTTGCTGCTGCTGCTGCTGCTGCTGCTGCTGCTGCTGCTGCTGCTGCTGCTGCTGTTGCTGGTGCTGGTGCTGCTGGTGTTGCTGGTGCTGTTGCTGGTGCTATTGCTGGTGCTGCTGCTGCTGCTGCTGGTGTTGCTGGTGCTGCTGCTGCTGCTGCTGCTGGTGTTGCTGGTGCTGCTGCTGCTGCTGTTGCTGTGCTGCTGCTGCTGCTCCGAAGGGGCTGCTGCTGGGGTGTTCCTGCTGCTGCCGCGGCTGCTGCTGGAGTGCTGCTGCTGCTGCTGCTGAGGTATTCGGGAGTCGCCGCTCCTGCTGCTGCTGCAGTGGATGCGGCGGAGCTGGGGTGCCTGATCTCGCCAGCGGGGGGTTTGTGGGGCCTCTGTTGCTGCTGCTGCTGCTGCTGCTGCTGCTTCTGCTGCTGCTGCGGCGGCGGCAGTTGCTGTTGCTCCCAGTGTGGCTGTCGCTTTGGCTGCTCGAGCTGCTGTAGACACTGTTGTTGTTGCTGCTGCTGCTGCTGCTGCTGCTGCCTTGGAAAAACGAGAGCAGGAAAAAATATTTAAAGTTGATGGAACGAAGAAGATACTGCTTGCTGGGAAACGGAGAGACTTGTCTCGAGGCTTCTCGGTTGCGGTGTCTGCTGCTCTTGCTGCTGCTGCTGCTGTCGCTGCTGCTGCTGCTGCTGCTGCGCAGCAGGGCTTCGATTGTGCGTGCGCACTCGCTGCTGCTGCTGCTGCTGTCGGCAATGACTTTTAAATATTAAAAATACTATTTAAAAATTAAAATTACAATTTGCTGAGGTAAACGAGGTTTTGGCTTGTTGCTGCGGGGCCCCTCGGCCGCCTCGCAACAGCAGCGGCTGCAGGGGGCCCCGTAGAACACTGAGCTGCTGCTGTTGCTGCTGCTGCTGTTGCTGCTGCTCTTCCTGCACACAGTTCAGCAGCAGGCGATCTAGAGTGATTATTCCCAGCAGCAGCAGCGGCAGCAGCGGCAGCAGCAGCTGCAGGACCCGCAGCAATCGATGGAGCTGCAGCAGAGCAGGCAGCACCAACAGAAGCAGCAGCGGCAGCTGCTGCTGCTGCTGCAATGAGGCGCTGGAATCTGCTGCACTTGCTGCAGGGGCAGCAGCTGAGGAGAAGAACAGCAGCAAGCCCTCCGCCACTCGGGCTATATGTGCAGCTGCGCTGCTGCTCTGCCCTTGGGCTGGCCCCGAGCAGCAGCAGCAGCAGCAGCAGCAGCAGCAGCAGCAGCGGTACGAGCAGCAGCAGCAACAGCAACAGCAGCAGAAACAATGGCTACGGCAGCGTGGAGCATAGCAGCACTGCCAGCAGCAGTGTCTACAGTATCAATGGCAGGAGCACCAGCAACTGCAGCAGCAGCAACTACAGCAGCAGCAGCAGCAACAGCAGCAGCAGCAGGAGAAACACAGCGCAGCAGCAAAGTGCAGGCAGCAGCCAGGGAGACCTGAAGCTCATATGTCGGGCTGCCCAGGACTGCGACATACATGCGCTGCTGCTGCAGCTGCAGCGGCGCTCACTGCAGCAGCAGCAGCAGCAGCAGCAGCAGCAGCAAGAGCTTCGTGTTGACGCTGCTGCTCCACAATGGTCTGATGAGACGCAGCTGCAGCAGCAGAGTGAAGCAGCTGCAACAAGTGGAAGGGCAGCAGCAGCAAACGGGTCACCAGCCGCTGCTGACGCCCCTGCTGCTGCTGCTGCTGCTGCTGCTGCTGAGAGTGGCAGCAAATCAGAACTCGTTAGCCGTGCGATATCTCGCGTGCTGCGGCGCAGCAGTGCAGCAACAGCAGCAGCAGCAGCAGCAGCAGAGATTGCATTCCTGCTTGGCTGCTATGGACGCCCTTGCTGCAGAGATGCGTGGATGCTGCTGCAGCAGCAGGCGCTGCTGCTGCTGCAGCAGGGAGACTTTTGCAGTGCAGCAAAAATCTGCCACGGCTATTTGAACTTGGTCTTCGTACACCGCAAGCCCCCTACTGCAGCAGCAGCAGGTGCTGCAGCAGCAGGTGCTGCAGCAGCAAGTGCTGCAGCAGCAGGTGCTGCAGCAGCAGGCGCTGCAGCAGCAGGTGCTGCAGCATCAAGTCGTGCAGCAGCAGGTGCTGCACCAAGTGCTGCAGCAGCAGGTGCTGCAGCAGCAGGTGATGCTACACCAGAAAGCCCTGAACGGAAGCTACACTGGGGAGCAGACGAAGAGGAAGCAGCAGCAGCAGCAGCAGCAGCAGCAGCAGCGGCAGCAGCAAACGATCTGTCGCTGCGCCCTCCCTTAGCAGCAGCAGCAGCAGCAGCAGCCCCGCAGGGTGACCAGCAGCAGGCTGCAGCTGCACTGTTTCTGCAGCTGCAGCAGCACGTAAGGCAAAAGGCGGCGGTCACTGCAGCAGCAGAGACAGCAGCAGCAGCAACTGCCTCTCCAGCAGCAGCAGCAGCAGCAGCAGCAGCAGCAGCTTCGGAACATGCAGCAGGAGCACCCGCAGTGGCATCTGCAGCGCTAAAGGCGGCATTAGAAACAGAAGCGCCAGCAGCAGCAGAAGCAGCAGCAGCAGAAGCAGCAGCTGCAGCAGGCCCAGCAGAAGCAGCAGCTGCAGCAGGCCCAGCAGAAGCAGCAGCTGCAGCAGGCCCAGCAGAAGCAGCAGCTGCAGCAGGCTCAGCAGCAGCTCCAGATCCAGCAGCAGCGGGAGCAGCGGCAACAGCTGCAGCAGACTCTGCAGCAGCAGCGGATCCAACAGCAGCGGCAGCAGCTGCACTAGACTCAGCAGCAGCACCAGATCCAGCAGCAGCAGCAGCACCGGCTGCTGCTGCTGCTGCTGCTGCTGCTGCTGCTGCTGCTCCTCTCACGTGGGACGAAGCTGTTTGGTACTTAAAACTGGTCAGCCGTTTTCGGTGTCTGCAGGACTTCAAATTGACGCAGCAAATTTGCTGCTGGCTGACGCAGACAATGCATGCGCTGCAGCAGCAGCAGCAGCAGCAGCAGCAGCAGCAGCAGGGTTCGCTGCTGTTGTCTACGGCTCTGCTGCATCCTCGGCGGCACGTGGTGCTGCCACTGGTGAGCCCGCAACAGCAGCAGCAGCAGCTGCTGCTGCTGTTGCAGCAGCGGCAGTTTGAGGCTCCGGAGCAGGCGCAGCAGCTGGCCCAGCAGCAGCAGCAGCAGCAGCAGCAGCTGCAGCTGCAGCTGCTGCCACAGCAGCAGCAAAAGGTCGCGCTGGACGCAGCAGCACTTATTCGGTGTCTCTCTGAATGCCTTCACGTTGACCCCCCGCTGCTGTCTGCTGCTAGTTTGCTGCTGCAGCAGTGGGCCCCGTTGCTGCCTGCTGCTGCTTGCTGCAGCAGCCTCTACCACCTTGCGCTGCTGGGGCACAGCGAGCCTGCTGCTGCTGCAGCAATAGCAGCACATCTCGTCAGCAGCAAGCAGCTTGCTGCTGTTCCCCTGCAGCAAATGTCTTATTTGCTGCTCGCGCTGCAGCGGCTGAGGCTTAAAGACGAAGTGCTGCTGGCAGCTTGCTGCAGCAGTCTGCTGCAGCGGGTGGCGCGGCTGCAGCAGCAGCTCCTGCTGCTGCCTCCGCAGCAGCAGCAGCAGCAAAGCCGCCACATCATCACTGTATTCCACTGCCTGACAGTGGGGGGAGCATGCAACGCTTTGCTGCTGCCGCAGCTGCTTCCGCTGCTGCAGCAAGCAGCAGCAGCAGCAGCAGCAGAATCTGCTGTTCTGGCTTGGCACGGCGTTGTAGCTATGGGGGCCTGGGTAGGCCCTTTGAGGGCTATAGTCAAGCAGCGGGTCCTCACGCAGCTACAGCAGCAGCAGCAGCAGCAGCAGCAGCAGCAGCAGCAGCAGCAGCAGTTGATGCTGCTGCAGCTGACTGGCTCGGCTTTGCTCAGCGCCTTGACTCTTTGCTACCACCACTTAGGGTTCTATGACGCGCCGCTGCTGCTGCGAATTGCTGCAGCGGTAGGCCGTGAGCTGCAGCAGCAGCAGCAGCCGCAGCAGCAGCAGCAGCTGCAGCAGCAGCAGAAGCGTGCAGCCATTGCTGCTTCATTTATCTGGCGGGCCCTCTACGGCATCCAACATCTCGCAGTCACACCAAGGGATTTCCCCAAGCAGCAGCAGCAGCAGCAGCAGCAGCAGCAGCAGCAGCAGCAGTGTTCCTCAACGGAGTCAGCGGCATCTGCTACACTGCGGGAGCAGCAGCAGCAGCAGCAGCAGCAGCAGACGCAGCACGGAAGATCGATACCAGAGCGCAACGAGCAGCAGCAGCATCCAGTTGCTGCTGCAGTGACTGCTGCATCTACGCAGCGCAGCAACAGTGACAGCAGCAGCAGCAGCAACAGCAGCAGCTGCAAGAAGCCCTGCAGCGAAATGTCTGTTTTTGTTTCTCATAGAGGCAGCAGCTGCCCGTGGGTGCTGCACTCGCCTTGGCTGACAGCGCCGCTGCCTTTGCTGCAGCAGCTATTCCAGCCTCTCCTGCAGCAGCAGCAGCTGCAGCAGCAGCAGCAGCTGCAGCAGCAGCAGCAGCAGCAGCTACAGCAGCAGCAGGGGGAGGAAGCCCACGACCAAGAACAGAAGGAGCACCAGGCGGCTCAGCAACAAGAACAGCGCGACCAACCAGAGCAGCAGGAAATTCCTCAGCAACAGCAGCAGCAGCAACAGCAGCAACAGCAGCAGCAAGACTCGGGGTTGCTGCAGCTGCTGCTGCTCAAGAGATGGCCCCGGAAGAGCAGCAGCCTGCACGAAGAAGTCTTTGCTGCGCTGCCGCAAGGCCTCCGCAGCGCAGCAGCAGCAGCAGCAGAAGTTGAAGTGGGGCCCTTTGTGATAGACACGCTGCTTCAGCCGCAGCAGCTGCTGCGCTGGCAGCAGCAGCAGCACAAGCAGCAGCAGCAGCAGCACAAGCAGCAGCAGCAGCAGCACAAGCAGCAGCAGCGCAGCAAGCAGCAGAAAAAGGAAAACGTGACGCAGCCAACCCGCAGCAAAAAAGAGGCACGACAGGCAAAGCAAAGAAAAACGCCAGAGAAACAGCAGCAAGTTGCTGCTGCTGCTGCTGCTGCTGCTGCTGCTGCTGCTGCTGCTGGGGTGTCCACGCTTCCAGCAGCAAATGACGCAACAGAGGCGACTGCAGCAGCTCGAGCAGCACTAGCAGCAGCAGCAGGCAGCACGAGTGCGGCTCAAAGGAAAGGGAGTGGGAGAGCCCCACAGAGAGGCAGCAGCAGCGGCAACCGTAGCAGCGACGGCAACAGCAGCAGCAGCAGCAGCAATAGCAGCTGCATTGGCAGCAGCAGCAGCGGGGCAAACACCAGCAGCTCCCGCCGCAGTAGTAGGAGCAGCAACGGCAGCAAAAGCAGCAGATGCAACAGCAGCAGCAGCAACAGCAGCAGCTGCAAAAGTGGCAGCAGCAGCAGCAGCAGCAGCAGCAGGTGCGGTTCAGACGCCGTTTTTATTTGAAATAAATTTGTTTTAATTTTGTTTGAGACAAAGGGTTGCGGATAGACACATAGATAGTGAGACAAGCACCTACAGCAGCGGCAGCAGCAGCAGCAGCAGCAGCAGCAGCTGCTGCTGCTGCTGCTGCTGCTGCACTGGACACGCTACGTTGTTTGCTGCAGCACGAGCTTGCTGTGCACAGCCACTGGGCTGCGGCGTTTAGGCCCTAGAAGTCGCAGCAGCAGCAGCAGCTGCTGCTGCTGCTGTTTGCTGCAAATGCCGCACTACTGCAGCAGCAGCGCCTGCGAGCTGCTGCTGCTGCTTCCTGTAGCTGCTACTTCTGCTGTTGCTGCTGCTGCTGCTGCTGCTAGGCAAAGACGAATTGCTGCGAGGCCTCCTGCTGATGCTGCTTCTCCTCACGGGCAGCGGCTGCGGCCAGCAGCACGAATTTGCTGCCTTTGTTTCTGCAGCGACACAGCAGCAGCAGCAGCAACAGCAACAGCAGCAGCAACAGCAACAGCAGCAAAGCTTCAGTACTACACGTTGTCAGCAGCACCTGAGTAGCTAGCTAGCTAGCTAGCCAGCGGCTAGCTACCTTCCTAACTCGATAAGGCCTGACTAGCTAGCTAGCTAGTTAGCCAGCTAGCTAGTTAGCCAGCTAGCTAGTTAGCCATCTAGCTAGTTATCCAGCTAGCTGGTTAGCCAGCTA